GTTTCGTAGATGAAATTGGGGCACTGGTCTCCATCTCAGCTTCAGCATACGCAGTTTCCTCTGCTAACAATTTTGCTCTTTCAGTGTCCAACTTGAGTTTCTCCCTTTGTTGTTTCAATTTCAATTCCTGTTCGTCCAAATGTTTCTTCACTTCAAAAGATGCCAATTCTGCCTCAATGGCCATCCGTTTTGCCTTCGCTTTCAAGCGAGCTTCAGTTGAGCTCGTGCTCAAACTGCTAAATAAGCTAGCCGTTTCTATGTCTTCCATTTTTTGTTGCACGTCCATTTTGATCTTTGACCTTTGACCTTTAGATCTCTCGAGTTTCACTGTTGCGGGTGTCAGTCAATTTTATTCAATTGTCAACGATATATAACATCAACTGGTAACAAATGGTACTGTTTATTGTCTAACATCAACTTATGTCAACTTACATCAACTTTCATCTGGAAACAACTGGTAACAACTTTCATCTGAATCAACGTGAAACTCGTTGCGAGAATCTGACTTGTGGAACAAACACGTGCCGGCAAAAACTAAAATACTATCAACACCGATACTACAATTAAGGTCAAGACACTACTAAAAATAGCTACTTGTCAGTTACAGGCAGAATGTAGTCTTAAGAGATAAATTTTTTTCCATCCAAAAGAAAACGAGGCAAAAGATGTTAAAATACTTGTATGTGCAGAAATTTTCAACTGCTCTTTGCTGCAGTCTTCCTCAGTGCTATTGTTTGACCACTAGGTGGAGTTGTGGTCAAAATGATGTTATAGACTGGGTTCCCATGCCCAGATCTGTCTAACTGGATCGACCCATCTCCAAGGGGTTTCTCATTAAATTGCTTTTAGCTTAAACAGCACGCCTACTGAAGCCGCTAAACGATAGTTAATTACCCTTTAACAGCTTCAGTGGGCGTGCAAGACATCTAACCACTGAAGTTGATAGAAAATGAGTGAGAACCCCCATGGAGATAGATCGATCCAAAGTAACTGTTACTACCATAGTCTCTGGAAATGGTCTCAAAGACTGACCTATAGACTGTTAGGCAGAGTGTTGGATATTATTTTTATTGGTGATTTGTACAAAGCTTTGAAATTTGTACCAAGCTTTGAAATTTCCAGGAAAATTAGGTTTATAAAGTTCTAATGCTCCTTGTATTACCTAATAATATTCTTCCCTGATGATAATGATGTTCTGCTAAACATCAAAATACTGGAGGTGAAAATATTTCCATATTAAGCTGTTGACTGAAGAAAAATTCCCTTATTCTGATAATATTCCCTATTTACATACTTATTAATAAATTCAATCTGGATGTTCCATATTTTCATTTTTATTTTTAGATGGCAATATTGACTTCCACCTCAATCTTTGTGATGAAGTTGACTTCATGATAGACACAGAGTATCAGAAACCTCTAGACTTCATGTCAATTCCAAACGCCATGTTTGCCCAGCAGCTTACGTATATGGACGCGGTAAGCACATGCATTACATTCACAATCAATTGAACATCAGTTTTGTATTTGCTGATTTGAATTGAAAATGTTGATAAGATTTGCTCTAATTTAGCCACTAATTGCATGGTAATATTAACCACTCACTCAATATTAAAAATGGATGGTGGAATGATAATTTTCATCATGTTCATTGCAAATTCTTCATCATGCCATGTTTATCTTTATTTAAATATACAATATGAAGTCTTTTTTATCTTATTATTATTATTTTTTTGAAAATTGTTTAACTTAATAGTTTAACTTAAAAGTTATATTTTGATGATATTTTTTCTGCTGTTTCAGTTAAGTGCAGTTTTTGTGAAATAACTTAAACAACACCAACAATAAAAAATTGTTTCTCTTTCCAGCAATTATTCAAGAAGGTCCTTCCCCACCATTGCTTGGGGTCAGTGTGGTCAAATCGGAAGGACAAGAAGAAACTAGATGCCCCCTCAGTGGTGGCCACTGTGGACCAGTTTAACAGAGTGTCCTACCGAGTCATAGCAACAGTGCTTAAACAGCCAGACATGAAGGCATCGCAGAGAGCTAAGATCATTGCAAAGTGGATAGATATAGCACAGGTAAATGTTATATTCAGTTTTGGTGGATATTTTTTACCACTTGCTTACGAAATGAAATTGGCTCGTGCTTTTGAATTTCAAGTTTTTTTTAAATGCCATATGGCAAAACCAAACAGTTACAAAATGAAATTCAGAAGATGTATCAAACAATGTTTGTGTGCAACCTAACTTTGATTGAAAATATTATCTTTTTGACTTGTTTTCTCAAATAAGCACCATATCTTTTTGTGCTGGATTTGTCAGGATGATTTGTCAGTGAGTTGGTATTTCATTCTCATATTGGTGCACTGGGGACAGTTTTCCAGAAACTCACCAGAACATGTTTTGCCTGGTACTTTCAGTCAAACATTCACAACTTATTTAGCCCCAAATTTAAAGCATTTAAGTGGCCATTTATTATGGTTTCACAAGAGCATAAATTCTGCATGTGATATCACTATAAATACTGGATGAATCAGAACATTAGCTCTCTCGTAAATCATGTTGTTTATTTGTTTTCAACAGGAGCTGCGTGTGTTAAAGAACTTCTCTTCATTAAAAGCCATTGTCTCAGGTTTACAATCTAATTCTGTCTTCCGCCTGAAGCGGGTATGGTCCATGCTGCCCAAGTAAGTTCTGAAAATTTCTTTAAAAAGTTCTGAAATTCAGAAAACAATTTTAAGCATCACTGTATTCTTACACTGTTAACAAAGTCTTTGGAATTAAGTCCAGACATAGTCACATCGTTTGACATTGGGCAATTGTTTCAGTTTTGATAAAATGCCTTTAAGAACAATGTCTTTTTACATTGGAGAAAAGGGCCCAGTTTTATAATCGGCATTTAGCACTAACCAAACTATCAACCTAACCAGTGGTCTCAACTGGATAAATTTTTCTTAGTACAGGTTAACTAAATGATACTTAAAATTGTGTTGTATAAAGGGCATTTAGCACTAAAGGACAGCTGCATCTCCTTTAGTAAATTGTTGTTAGAAGAATTTATTCACTGGTTAGGCTTATATAGTTGTTAATATGCCTTTTATAGAACTGGGCCCAAATGTGAACTTTAATTAAACAGTAGACATTTTTAATTAAAATGCATGAAAAACAATTTAGTCTGTGATAGTATATTAGATATCTGATANACACAGGTAACCTGTAACAGCAGGCTCCTAGAGCCCATTCCCATTCTACGAAGATCAATCTAACTCCTCAGGGACTCTCGCTGAATGCAATTAGATTAACTGAATGACGCCTTCTCTTGTTCCTGATGTACTCAAATAATCAGACTAGCGTTTCTTAATTTTACTTAATGCCAGGTGGAGGCATGTTAAGCTTTTAATTTGATTGCATTTAGCAGGAGTCCCTGTGAAGTTGGATTCATCTACACAGAGCAATAATTTCATTGGGAATGGACCCTCACAAATGTTCTATTATGACAGTATAATGTACAGCGTCATAATTTATTTCAGGGCCATGCTTCATGGTGGTGACAATGACAGCACAGGGGTGATAGCAGGTGCATGCTATGGTGCTATGTATGGCTTTCAGGGGGTACCAGAAAACCATTACAAAAAACTAGAATACCGAGATAGACTGGAGAAGGTAGCCGAACAGCTATATCAACTGGCTAATAACTGACTCATTTCCCAAAACTATGATAATAGATAAAGGGGGTTGTAATTTTATTAATCCAGGGTAAATGATTATTATGCAGTGAACACTAAATTTGTAAGTTTTATGATCAGAGACAACCAGATCAGACACATTGGATAATATATTAACCAGTTTTTTTTAAACAAATTTCCAATTTATAGCCAAACCATTTATAAATTGGTAATGATAATGAAATATTTGTTATTTCTTATGCCAAAGTAATTTGGTCAAAATTGACTGAGGTCAGTTGGAAAAGAAAATTGGAGAAGAGGGTTTACTAACAGAATGAAATTTAAATTTTAATTTATTAAAATAAACAAGACATAAATTGTAGGACCAATTTAATTTCATTTTAGATGCAACTTGTACCTGATCATGATTTTCAAATAATTAGTAGAGGTAACTACAAATACTGTTCAAATCGAGTAGTAGACAGCTGATGTTCTGGGTATTGTGATATTTTTAACTACACAATTAGTATTGCACTGTGGATAGATAATGTGTATTTTATTGAACAAGTTTACAAGGTACTATCTTTGAACACGAATGTTAATATTTCTCTTTTGAGAATATCAGTAATGTCCACACAAGAAGAATATCACTTCACAAAGTAATTTGTAACACAGCAACTATGACACCTGAACAATTGTTAGCCCAGAATTGTTCATTTGACCAAATTTATTTCTCTGTCCACTATAATCTGTGATAAATAAATATTTATATTTGTTTTTACAATGGTATTTTAGACATTTTTAATGACCAACTTCCAGATCATGTTTTAGTTGAGATAAAGGTGTAATTTAATCTTTCCTCGTTTTGCTGAAATTTTTGTAATTAGTCATTTTTATGCAATATACATGACAGGGCTCTGTCAGATTGTATTTTGATAGGTTATATTTACAGTAAATAAAGTAAAATGCTCTTTTTATGATTAGTGTGGAATTCAGATACCACTGGAGTCCATTCTCTGTAGATGATTTAGAAAGGATTAATCCAATCTGAGACAGAGTGCTACAGTGAAATTATAAGTGAAATAAATGTGTACTAAACAGAAGAACAGGCTTTTATGTTTTGTTTTGTTTTTTTTCATTAAAATAGCACAAATTTTGTCCTCATCCAAGTTTCACAGTGATCAGATATTGTTAGAAAAAAGAAGCTTGTTATGGTTGTGGAGAACTGTCCCTTGTACATCTACATCAAGGGTGCATCTGTATGTAAGTTTTCTTTGAATTTCGGAAATGAAAATAAATAAGAATAGTGACTTTTATGCACATTTTATTATCAATTTAACTCAAAAGATTCATCTGTCTTTGATTTTTTTTACTAACCAGCAGTACTGTTAAGTATAAAATATGCAATTACTTTGCAGAAAAAATATTTCAAGATGAGGGTTCTAATATTTGTTTTATTTAACAAGGCAGCAAAGCTGTCAAATGTACAGACAAAAAACAGAAAATATAGATGCAAAAAAGGTCATTTTGTCAATTTTGATGCAATAATAAATAATGCTTATAATAGCACTGTCAGTCAACACTGAATTTTAATCATGCACAACAGGTAAAATGGTCAATAACATGAGCGGACCTAGAGATATTTTCTGACAGTATTCCAAAGTATCTATTTTGATCCATCCTCCATTTTGATGGTCTTCTAACAGAAAAAAAAAATAGACATCAATATAAACTTAATAACTGACTGTCTTCCGGAAGACCCAGAAGATGGTCTCAATTCACCCCTTCAATAAGATTACAGTTTCAGGACCATGAGAGTTCAAATTCACATGATGAAAATCTCATTCAAAATGATGACAGTGCATAAAATGATATTACATAAGTAACATAATGTTTAAAGACATAAAAAACAATACAACTGCTTATGTGGAAATACAGAAATGTCAGAGCCTCAGGCGGATGAGAGTTAAAAGTCACAAATGCAAGTGTTTGAGAAAAATTTATAAGGGAAAACATAACAAAACTAGAAAAGCGCTCCGAGAGTGCAGACCTCTGCCAAGGCAGCAATTGTTGATTCTTATTGATCATTGTCCTCTTTGGCCCACTTCTGACAGTTCCTGAAAGTTTCAGCAAAATCGGTCCATAACTTTTTGAGTTATGTTGATGACAGACAAACAGGGGTGAAAATATAACCTCCTTGGCAGAGGTAAATATAATTCCAATGAAGCTGCTATTCAAACTTTTAATCTTTGAG